AGCGTGCAGTGCAACATGATGAAGCGAAGTTTGCTAACCGCTGTCAAGCTCAGAATATGTGCAAAGTTCGAAGGATGGAAGATTCATTCTCCACCTATGCTCTCAGTCCGATCCTTCATATCACCTGTTGGCCTCCAAGTGAAATTAGCTACCGTAGGGTGATGTGACACCCAGCGCTCCTTCGAGAACTTTCCAAATGCATGAAGCACTAAATCAATGTCCTTAACCTACGCGCTATATCCCATCTTCATAACATCTCATGTACATCAACCATCGGCCGTCTTCGGTCCATTCATATTTTCCACCAGCAAAGGATCTGAATAAATTCGAAATAAATTTGACGAGTACCCAGTGCCGAGTGGGTTAAGCGAGACTAAAGAGGATGAAGTTTATACTTAGTTGAGCAAAACTGCTGTTCTTCTATTATTCACAAATCAAGTCAAATATGAACACCTATACGTGAGCGGAATGATCCGAATTAATACTAATTTTCACAGGTATCATTGCAATCGTTACGTTGTTTACAGCAAGGTGCTCATTGTACTCTAATAAAAATTGTATATGAAAAACAAAATACTTTTTTTCAGAAATCGATAGATAATATATTTAGGCTCGATAGGATAGATCAAGGAATGTCAACAAATCGGAACATTAAAGATAACCAGCTGTTATTATAAGCGACCTTATATCCGCGGGTTAGGGGGAGGTAAGAGTAAACTACATTGCTCATACATTCATACCAAACAGGAAGCCTATGGATCGATTATTAGGACACTTATATAATTAGAAAAATAGTAGGCAAAACAAATCACATTGTTTCGTTTTGCCTATCAAGTGAGAATCATCTCTAAAGAAATAGAGCTAAACTGTTTGGCGCAAAATGAATGTCACTAGGAAATCGTTAACACAAGAATGCTGGGTTAGGGCAGTATGATAAATCGAGAATACTCAAGCAACACGAAACTTACACGTCCACTTTGTAGTATTTGGACACGGCGTACATCTTCTTCAGTGCCTCAATGATGAAAATGAGCGCGATCAAGGCGGCAAACGATTCTTCGGTGAAACGAGTGATAAATTTGACCAGAGCACTCAAGTCTAACGCCACCATGATTAACAGGAGCATGGAAACCCAAAAGCCGATCCAAAATCTGAAGCTCAAATACGACCATGCCATGCGTCTGTGTATCAACGGGTGTTGATTAATCGCGGCAGGGTTTGAATGACAAAAGGTGAGCGAAATTGGAATTTCGAGATAGATGGCGCATTATTAAAATGACACAAGCGGCAAAACTGACACGTCAAACACATAAATACACAAAGCTCAATATATTAGACCAAATAAAAGAGATTCATCTGCCAGTTCCAATTTTGACCACCCTTGGCTTTCTTTCACACACTACCTGCCTCGGCAAACGTCGCGCGTCGTGCAACTTACTTGGGTACCCAAGTATTACATGCTCCAACCAAAGTAATCTATGGAGGTCGACCACTTGCTCAGATAAAGCCCCGACAGCAAAACAGTTAAAACAGTTGAGAACCAAAACTATACATAGAATAGGACACGCAAAGAAAAATTAAAAGAGCTGAAAAGGCGTTACTTATTCATTTTTTTGTGTCAATAATGCCATTTTTCTTTTTCAAAGACGTGCTTTAATCTTACCGATTATTCTGATAAATATTTGTTACTCTGTCCACACTACTTGCCGGATTTTTAGTTTCATAATATCAACAATCGGAATGCTTTGAATCCCAACCAGACATTAGGGAAACACTAAACGAGAGACAAAAGTACTGTCCGTTGTTTTGCTACCTTCCGCCGACACGTGTATCCCATTCTAGTGGTGCATGGGAGCCACAATCAACAATCAAACGCAACTATACCGTCGTGAACTGCGCCCTGTGATCAATTTGGTTCGACGAAAAACAATTATAACAATTATAACCTCGTTTTGACCAATCGAAAGCAGTATTCCAATCAACAATAATTAAATATGGAAATCCTACAATGATTGTTCTTATGAAGGAGCCACGTATCGCAGCCGGAAAATCCATGACACCAGTGGCAACAGTTAAAGTCCAAAATGGTCCGATCCATTGTTCCACCATAGTACTGAACCAAAACTAAATGTGCAATCCGAACGGTAATGGGCTCAGAATCAGTAATTGCTCTCTGAGCCATATAATGCTAAGACGCCCGTGTCAAAACACGTCCCAGAAATCCGAATCCGGACCTTGGAAAAGTGATGTGTGCGTGTTTGTTTGAAGAAACGTAGTATTTCAACAGACGAAGTTAATACAAACCAAGACGCGGCTCACATGACCATGAAAAGCCTAATGTTCTATCACTTCACCAAATCGGCAGTCATATCCGGAACTNCAAATCGGCAGTCATATCCGGAACTACACCTTTTCCCATCAAGCTTCAGCCAAAACCTGCAGACCAGAGCCTCGACTCACAAGCTTTTAACCTTGATCCACATTCCGTTAACCAAAACCCGCAATGCTTTAGCCCCGACCCGTATTTCTTTAACCTCAACGTACAAACATTGGTCGTGGCGCTGTAGTCGAGACAATCAAAAAGTATCGGAATATTCTGAGACCAACGAATGTTTGGAATGTTTTCTCCCTGCAAATTTTAGTGCTTCGAATCTTAGCTAAGATATAAGGTGTGGCGAACGTATGCTGCACCGCTGACCGCCATAATGGTATCAAATGCGGCACCACACGTTGATTGGAGGTTTAAACAATGTGGCCGTATTGTCAAATCATTTGGCGCCTCTCGTCTGGCCTAAGTGAGTTCAGTGAGCCCCTTTTTATTGTGCTAAATAGTAAGCGAATTAAAGAAGTTAAAACGTTCCAATTGACTGAAGACCTCTTCCAGTGGGTCAAAGGAGGGGGCTGTATGGTGAACGAAATAGATTTTGGTGGTTGATAGGTAATTGCGCAAAGCTCTCCGATGAGCGGGCGCATCGATAAAGATAAAAATAACTGAAACACTCGGTTGCACAGTAGTGACTAAAGTCGAGTAGCTTGATAGTAACCTATTGACACTATGCCACTATTCACTATGACACTATTCATTGTCTGACAATCATATTTCAAGATTCCAGTGACAGATAAACGTGTAATTACTTTCAATTTGGGCTTATTCCTGAATAGGAGGCTTTGAACGGATTTACAGCCCCTTTGGAGTGTCCATAGCTGCGATAGCATCATACCTTGTAGTTGGTTTTGTCAATATAAAGTCTTTCATTACCCGATCGCAGTACCCAATTGGCATATTCAGCTTGTTTTACTTTAACAATTTTCGAGTTCGGTTCCAAGGGCTGGATAGTCAGCTCATTAATCGAACAGCCGTGTCCATTCAGCAATCGATCAATCAAAGTCTTGCTGACAGATGTGCCCGCGAGGTTTTACACTCCTTTCTCTGCCTCGATGTGATTGTATGGTTCTCATCGAAATCCCCTAAATATTTTGTGAAGTCTTCGTTGAATTTTCCCTTATAAGATCCAGGGTTGTGTATTAACCCCCGATTATGGATTGCAATATCACAACATGTTTTGATCCTAATGCAACTTCTTTCAAACCATGACCTCTGTATGCACATTCAACTACGCTCCGGAGGCCTTCGGCAGTGGTAAAGCAATAGGGTATTTTCTGTCCATTTGATTTGACGGTCTCCATATTGCCGCCTATCGTGGTGTTTTTGTAGCCTCATTAGCGACGAGCCGAATACCACAGAACGCTACTACAGATGAAATCTAAATCTCCTGTGAACAAAAATTACAATTATAACGCAAAAAGTACATTATTTTCCATTAAAAAGCCTTGAAATAAATCAGTGATGCCACAAAATGAAAATACTTATAGTTCTATATCTTCACTTAAAGTGAATTCTGTTCGTGTGAGGTGAATGCATTACCAGGCCGAGGATAATAAGTACCGTTCACAAAAGTACACCCCCATTACTATCAACAGTTTATTAGCGCTGCAACATTGAACAATTACGACGGTTGAGGCTCAATAATTACGGGTTTCGTAAAAAACTTGATGGGAAAAGGTGTATCAAAGAGGGTGTATTTAGTGAACGGTTTTCAGTGTTGTATACACATGGAGTGAACAGAGTTCACTTCAAACTGAGATAGAGAACAAAAAAGGATTTCCTTTTTCGTGGTTTCACTTTTAGATTCATGTCAGTGCTTATGAATGCAGAACTACGTACCGCTTTTGCTACAGTTGAGCTTTTTACTCACAGGAATATCGCGTATTATGCGAAAACCCTGAAGCTGTAGGAGATGTGTCAAATGGTTTGACGATATGAGGACATCGCTTAAACCTTCTCCAATCAGTATGTGGTGCAGCGTGCGACCGCCAAACCTCATTTCTTAACCAAGCTTAGTAACATAAACATTTGCAGAAACTAATTCTTTTTAGACATTCACTGACCTCAGAATATTGCGATACTTTTTGACTGACTCGTCTACAGCGGTATGACTAAAGTTTGTACGTCCAAACTAAAGGAATACGGGTCATAGTTAAAAGATTGTGGGTCAAGGTTAAAGGGATGTGGGTTGAGGCTACAGGATTGCGGGTTTTGGCCAAAGTTTGATGGGAAAAGGTGAAGTGCCTATTGTTTTTGCTTCGGAAGCACACCAAAGTTTATTTGACGAAAGCACAAGGTGAAAGCAAAGAATAACTGAAATTTACAAACGTTTTACTTTACCCAGCCTGGAGTAGTTATTTGTAACATCAAATTAAATCACTATCAATGTTTTCTTACGGTTCAGTTCATTAAACAGTGGCGTTCATGCATCTACTTACTTTCTGTGCAGATGTGACCTATTGATTCTATCTTTACCTCAGCAGCATTCTCAGTTTATCAACTGTTCTATTTGCTTATCTCTCACTGGAAGGTCAAGGGAATAGTTAAAAGACAACAACCACAGCCCTTACGTGACAGTGCAACATTGAAAACTGACTAAATCAGTAAGACTATAGTTTTGCATGCACAAAGAAAAATTGTCAGATCGCATATAAATCTAGACAAAACACATTTCCTGAATCGTTAACAAATGCGCACTATTCGTATCGGCGCATTACCTTTATTTGATAATGTTTTTGTTGAAAGAGCCTCAGTTCTGCTGGACTTCCACTAGTTAGCCAATGAAACAATACATGTAGGGAACGCATCCAGTTTTCACATAAAAAATGCATTTTGCAAAACTTGAACACCACTAAATTACTACATCTGTTTTACAATATTCATGATTTCTTTGAACGAAGATAATTCGAGCCTAGACCTGTTGTGATTGGTGTACTAGATCAAACGACCACGCTACCATCATATTATTGGAAATGAGAACCTGTTGAGGTAGAGAGAATAAACTTAAACTAAACCTAGGTAATTGTGATGGCACTACATATAAACATATACATAGTGTCCGTTCTCCCGAAGGGGAGAACAAACACGATTCAGTAATAGATAGATCATGAGAATTTCAATGTGGAATCAAAACACAATTCATTCACCTGTCAAAAGATAAACCATGGTCACATTTTATTTTATGTTTCGCGTACATCTTACCAATAAAGCTACATGCACAGGACGCATAAAGTTACAAAGTGTATTTTACCAAGTACGTGTAGATTGTGTTTACCGAAGATATACTACACAGAGCAGATAGCATAAGTGTTCCGCAATAACAACCGTCAATAAAATGTGCAGTAACTTACAAGCACATTCGATACACAATTCCCTCGAATATTAATACTGGTCCCGTACTCCCCATAATTGTTAGCGGTTGCCCGGCAAACAATGAATATA